TGTTGTGTCTGGATTTTCTGCCAAATAAGGTCTCACTCAGGGTTTGTTGTGGCTGCTTACAACATGGCTTCTTCAGTCTCCTGAGTTCTCAGACAGTTCTCCATCAGCTGTTGCTTCCAAACGGTTCCTCCCAGGAAACAGCATGCTGCCTGAAAGTGTCTTTCATATTGTTACAGCCAGCTCAGTAAATCATTCCCTTGTTGATGAACAAGGGTTCTAAAACAGTTTCTTACTTCTAGAAAAGCAAACATAATAGCGTCAGACTAAAACAAAGATAAAGCCTGCAGTACATCAATAGACCCTGATAATGGCAATGTAACTGATAACTGGGCTCAATGGAAAGAGAGAATGGAACTGATATTTGCAGTCCCAAATGCTGATAATTGGTTAGTTTCAGATAAGTATTGGACAAAATGTCTAATCTCAGCAGAGTGTGGCACTTAAGCAGCAAATTAGCAGAAGACACAAATGAACAAATCTACCATTTCCACTGTTTATGGTTTTCCACAATCCCAAGAAAGATACATCTATGCAAATAAATCTGTTCCATGAAAGACAGAAAGTGGCAGCATAATCAGCTGATGAATGGATAAAACAACTGTACCTAATAGTGCTACAGTAATACAAATCAATAAAGCTGCTTTTCATAACAGTACGGACACAATAAAACAGTATTGTTATGGGCTCAAACTCCAAAGAGCTGCATGGTGAAAGTAGTGTAGGAGGATGAACCCACAGAAGAAGAAACTGATAACCTGTGGGTCATGGGACACTTCACTCATCACTGAAGAGCCTCCTTCTGGCTGTGTCTGGGAATTAGTTCTGCCAGTCTGATACCCCTCCTGCACTATAACTCCACTTCCATGGAGTGGAAAATACATGCATCTGATGAAGTGGGTTATAGCCCACGAAAGCTTATGCCCAAATAAATGTGTTAGTCTCTAAGGTGCCACAAGGGCTCCTCGTTGTTTTTGCTGATACAGACTAACACAGCTACCCCTGTGAAACCCATCTTTTTACTCCTTGGCTCCTCCTCCAGGTGCAGGCTGGGCAGTTAACTGTGCCACCTAGCTACCTTAACTCCTTCAGGTCTCGTGTGGGGTGAACACCCCATCACACCATATGTTTGAAATGTCCAAATGTAGGTATTAATACTTAGCACTTATAGCACTGTGCATCTTCAAAGAACTGTAGTAAGTCATGCTTACAACACCTCTGTGAGATAAATAAGTGAGTATCCTTATCTCTGTTTTCAGATGGGGAAACTGAAGCAGGGAGTAGAACCAATTTACACAAGTCAGTACCAGAGGGGGCATAGAACTTAGGAGTTCCTGGCTACCAAGCCTGCATTTGTTTCCATAGGCTATGCCATAAATACATAAACAGTTCTTGAGCCCTTGTTTCTAAATAACTGACTGGCTCCTCAGGTCTCTTCCTGCAAATCATCTGAGTGTGCAACAATAGTCTAGAATCCTTTGTAACCCTGACCCATGCCAGGTGACTGGGACCAAGAAAAAAGTATCATATGACTTTTAAAATCTAACTTTATATTTGTAGATAATCTAATATTAGATGTACAGACACTTTTTTCCCAACCTATGTATTATATAATTTTTTTAACATTAGCTTTAATAAAATTTTTAAATCTGTTATTACTACTCTGCTGCACACCTTAGTCTGGAGAGTGGGAGGGAGGTGTGAGATTTAAAATGCAAGCTGCTTGAGTAGACTTCATGGAGGTGCAGGAGAGGAGATGTTTATTGCTGAATGTGGGGAGGTGTCAGTGCTGTGGAATAAGAATATAAGAGCTACCACACTGGGTTAGAACATGATTCATCTTGCCCAGTATCTTTACTCCGGCAGTGGCTCATACCAAAGGTTCACAGGGAGTGTACAGAACAGGGCAACTATGGAGCGATCCACCCCCATCTTCCGCTTCTAGGGGTCAGAAATTTAGGGTTGTTCTGAACATGGGGTTGTATCCTTGACCATCTTGGCTAATAGCCATTGATGGACTTATCCAGTTCTTTTATGAACCCAGTTATACTTCTGGCCATCATGGCATCCCATGACAATGAGTTCCCCAGGTTAGTTGTGTGTTGTATGACAAGTATTTCCTCTTGTTTAATAAACCTGCTGCTTGTTAATTTCATCAGTTTTTGTATTGTGTGAAAGGGTAAATAACACTTTTCTATTCACTTTTTCCACACCATTCATGATTTTATAGACTTCTATCACATCCCCCTTAGTCATCTCTTTTCTAAAACGAACCTCCCTAATCTTTTTAATCTCTCCTTGTACGGAAGCCCTTTATCATCTTTGTTGCCCTTCTCTGAACTTTTTCCAATTCCACTATATCCTTTTTGAGAGGAGGCAACCAGAACTGGTTCAAGGCATGGGTGTACCAGGGATTTATTAGTGGCATTGTGATATTTTCTGTCTTATTTTCTATCCCTTTCCTAATAGTTCCTAGCACACTGTTAGCCTTTTTGACCACTGCTGCACATTGAGTGGAAGTTTTCAGAGAACTATCCTAGTGATGACTCCAAGATCTCTTTGTTGGGTGGTAACAGCTAATTTAGAACCTATCATTGTAAATGTATATCAGAGATTATTTTTTCAAATGTGTATTACTTTGCCCTTATCTATGTTGAATTTCGTCTGCCATTTTGTTGCCCAGTCACCCCGTTTTGTGAGATCCCTCTGTAATTCCTCGCAATCTGCTTTGGTCTTAACTATCTTGAATAATTTTATGTCGCCTGCAAACTTTGCCACGTCATTGTTCATTTCCCCTTTTCAGAACAGCACAGGTCCCAATACAGATCCCTGGGGGGGCAGTCCACTGTTCACCTCTCTGAATGCTCAGTCTTAAAACTGACCATTTATTACTCCTGCCCTTTGTTTCCTGTCTTTCAACTAGTTCTGTTCCATGACAGGGCCTTCCCTCTCATCTCAATTGCTAGGTAGTTTCCTTAAGGGCCTTTGATGAGGACCTTGTCAAAGGCTTTCTCAAAATCCAAGTACACTATATCAAGTGGATCCCTCTTATCCACATGCTGGTTGACTCCCTCAAAGAATTCTAAGAGGCATGATTTCCCTTTACAAAATCTGTGTTGACTCTTCCCCGACAAATCATGTTTATCTATGTGTCTGATAATTCTGTTCTTTACTATAGTGTCTACCATTTTGCCCAGTATGATGTCAGGCTCACCTGCCTGTAATTGCCAGGATCTCCTCTGAAGCTCTTTGTTAGAGGCAGATAAAGAGATGAGAGAAACACCAGTTTTTTCCTCTCACAGAAAATGACAACTTCCAAGCATTAAGGACTTTTAAACATATTTTTACATAAAATGCAACATTAATGTTAAAAAAAAAGCCAATTCCATTTTTTTATTTGTACAAACCAAGATTATTTGGATTTCTTTTTTTTTTTTTTAATTTCTTTTCAGCTGACAGTCCTAGAGAGAAACTGGCACATGGAAGCTCTGTCACCATCTGCTGACAGTTTAGGAAAATGCAATTATATATTTTAATTCACATTTCTCACACATTAAGTCACCTTCATCACTTTCAGCATCAAGACTAGAAATTTGGGTGGACCTTGTCTTGCAGTTTGGACAGCTGTTTTGGTATGTCCCTTGTTACTATTTCAGTCAACTTTACTTCTCTCAGTCATTTTCTTTGGAAACCTGCTACTGAAAATTCTTTCTATTGATAAGGCAGCTTTTCCTGCCAGGTGTATTCCCTGCAGATTTCTGGGTGAGAATACAGAACTACATCCCTTTCATTTATAGTGTCCTTAATGCTATACTTGAATTCATATCTGATTTATGAGAATGGGTTTGGTGATGCAATGCACAGTTCAAACAGCAATAAATGTTTTCTGTATAGTTCCTCTTCACATTTATTTCCCCTTTATATCTATGTACACACCCTTACTTCTCCATCCAGTGATCACAACACTTGTACAGCCATAAAATAAGATTATACATTTTTTTCTGTTGGCATGTAAGCAAGCCTCTTTATAAACAGAATTTGTTAGCATTTTTGAACAATGAAAGCTACAGTAGCCAAAGTGACACATCCAGCCTTGTTCTTTTTTTTTCATTGTTGTTATAACTTTGGCCAGATCCACAACTCAGATTTGAGACCCAGCATTACAACTAGAAGTTTAATGAAGTAGGCTTATTATAAATTATAGCTTAGTTCTGCTCATGCAATAAGATGAGGAAACTTTTTTAGGCTAACCCATATCATATTGCTCTATGTTTGCCTTGCAGTACATTCAACCAGAGCTGAAAAAAATATTAATAATTTGACTATTGATGGACACAATGTTTTGATAAAATATGTTTGTTTGTGACTATTATGCAATAAGTCCTCATAAAAATTAAGGGTACCCTTCTAAATAAAAATCATATTTTTATCTGAATATTTCTTACCTACCATTTTTATGAGTAACCCCTAAGATTACTAAGGTTAGCAGGGATTCAAGGGGAGATGTGTCTAGTTTTTTTCCAATGTCTTCCTTTTTATGAATTCGATAGTACTTTCTATACAGTCAGTGTTATTGTTTCCTTGTATAGTGAGTTAGGCCCTGATCCTGCAAGACGCTCTGCATGGGCAAACTCTTGTACCCATGAAGTCAACAGGGCTCTGAGGTAGAGAAAAGGTCTGCTCATGTTCAGTGGCTTGCAGGATATGGGCCCACGTTAACTCATATCCCATTTTGTTTGTGTGGGTCTTTCACGCAGTGACAATGACGGGAGAGGCATTTTTAAGACAGGGAAATGTGAAGGTAAAAATCACAAAAATAGGGAGGAGACACAGAGGCAGCTTTACTATCTGAAACTTACTTTTAACTCTTTGTTTTATAGAAACTAGGTTTCAAGTTGACCGTGTTCTTTAGTTAAAAGTTACAAAATAGTGATACAATGCAAGGGAACAATGGCCGTTAGTGTCAACCGTTGTTGCAATGTGATTTTATGTGTTCTTATTAGGTATGCTGGAGGATGAAAAATCAACTCAGACCTGTGTTACCATGTCCTCGACTGCAAGTGGAATAATTAACACTGAGAAGAAAACTAGCTGTGGTACTCAATGCACAAAACCCACGGTCCACGCCTCTGGAACTATGACACAGAAACACAATGGCTTCAGAACAGCAGAGGTAGGTTTATAATTATGTTCCGTGTCTCTCAAGGCTAGTTTCAATGGGACTACAATTATTTTTGTGATAATTACAATTCTCCATTTTACAGTCAAAACCCATTTAACATCTTGAAATACAATAAAATACTTACACTGAAGCCACAGCATATTGCATGAGAAGCTGCAGATCTGGGCAGAGGCAGACTCTGAATCTACGTCTTCTTACTGGTGATTAAGTGCTGACAGGGGACAGACCCAAAGGCCCCTACCCAACTGCACAGTAGGATCATCAGACAGGTTCTATCAAACATTTATCTTTGAGATGGGAGAACAAGCATGGGAAATTTGAGCCCAAAAGGAATTTGTCTGAGAAAATAGAGAGCAACTGGAAAAGGGAGTTTAGAATGGAAGCCACATCTCAACTTTACCTCTAATGTTCATTAATAGCAAACACAATAGTATGTGTGTGTTTATTTTAAACCTCCTTGTACTGTATTATTCATCCTTCATTGCTTCTGCAGCATGGAAATATTCCCCTGTGACCTACCGCTGTGTCTTTCCATTTAGGTATTGCAGTAGCAGGAGTACGGGGGCCAGGGCCGGCTCTAGCTTTTTTGCTGCCCCAAGCAGCAAAAAAAAGCGCCGCCTCCGAGCCCCCCCAGCCCAGCGGCCACGCCGCCCCCCCCCCC